ACAAAACTTGAAGTTTAGCTCAGATTCCTTCGTTGCTGCGATGTTTCTACACCTTGCTTGGAGTCCACCTTTGGTAAATGAAATTGATTGGATGTGATTTGGAAAGGCACACACCTCTCTATAAAAGGCCTCACAGCTGTCAATGCATACTGTATCAGAAAAAAGCCATGAGGTCAAAGGAACTGCCTGCAGCGCTCAGAGACGGGATTATCGCAAGGCACAGATCTAGGAATGCTACAAAAAAAATTCTGCTGCACCGAAGGTTCCCAAGAGCACAGTGGACTCTGTATTTCTCAAATGGAATAAGTTTGGCATGATCAGGACTCTTCCAAGAGCTGGTTGTCCAGCGAAACTGAGCAATTGGGAGAGAAGGTCCTTAATAGGAGAGGTGACCAATGGTCCAGAGATCCTGTGTAGAGATGGAAGAAGGTTCCAGACGGACAACCATCACTGCAGCGCTCCTCCAATCTGGGCTTTATGGCATCGTGGCTAGTCTCAGTGCAAAACACATGAAAGTCCGCTTGGAGTTTGGAACTTTGTCCCATCTCCACACAATTTTTTCATAAATTTTTCAAAACATTTCTAAAATTCTGATTTCACTTTGTCATTATGGGGTACTGAGTGTAGATTTAAATGAATTTAAACAACTGTGGTATCAGGCTGCAACATAACAAAATTGAAAAAAGTGAAGGGGGTCTGAATACTTTATAAATACACTGCATATAGTGCTGAGAATTTATGTAGCACTTTATATACTGCAGATTTACGTCAGTCAGTGCCCTTAAAGAGCTTGTAATCTAATGTCCCTATCTTACAAACATACTGTACACAAATGCTACGGCCAATTTGGAAAAAGGGCAATTAAAAGCTAAGGTCACCTTTAGGGAAAAATAATAAATGCACATATTTCTGCAGAAAAAAATTTTACATTGATGATTATTTCCTGCAGGAGGCTGCAGAGCATTACACCCCTGATCCATTCAATGTCAGGCTGGAGCAGACTCTCAGTACAGCTGTCTGCCCATACCTTCCATACGGGCAGACAGTTACTAAAGTCCAAGAAGAATCAATAAACTGCGAAAGCGCTCACCAGTGCTCTTGCAGTTAATTAACTATAAGCTGTCTGCCGCAGTGGCATAAGGGACTTGTAGTTCATTCATTCACAAATCGTCGTCACTAATGACGAAAGCGTTGGGAGGAGCCAGAGCGCGTGACGTCAGCACCTACTGGAACGTGGCGGCTATCTTATGGGTTTTAAACATACCATTAGGATATATGGTGACATGCTGTTTTTATATTTTCTTTGACGTACGTGTAATACCATGTTTTAAGGCAATAAATCATTTTGAGTATACTACACTATGAGGATTTTTCTTGTTCTTTGAATGGTATTGTTCTCTACGAGGATAATTTATTTCTACAGATCCATCTTTAGCCTTATGCTTGGATTACCAGTTGGGAGCCAATGTCCTGATTATGACATGTTTTTGCAAGTGATCCAGCAGGCGTTTCCTCCATTCAACACCTGGGGGACAGTTTGTCCTTTTTGGAGCCAAAAAGTGGTCGGGTTCACAGCCTACCTTTGGAATCTGTACTGTGTTTTTTGACCCATACTCAATTGAGGGGTCATTATAGTCTGGTAAGAGGCAGTATTTTTTGGGGTGTTGGTGATGATGGACTCTCCCAGCTTATTGAACTTTTATTTTGGAATTTATATGACATCATTACTATTCAAGTAAAGAGGCGTCTAACACTATCTATACCAGACACCATTGGACTTTAATTTCATATATTTTATTTTGTTGTGATCATCTGAAGCGCCACACCTCTGTGTTTTATATGGGTGTAACATATAACATGCCCCCAAGGGTGACCTTATCCCTTAACCTACCAGCATAACTTTGAATTGTGGGAGAAAATCAGAGTACTGGGAGGAAACACACACTGGTGCAGGGAGGACATGCAAACTCCAACAACAAAACACAAAGCAGTGTGACTACAGTATAACAGGCTTGTGGAAAGTGGTGATTGTTTGCATAAATGTGCACGTATATGTGTATTGCAATTCACTGCCATTTTTTTTGAAAGGTACTCCAAAGCACATATATGGGGACCAAAAAGGCAACTTTGCTATAGCAATGCAATGCACATATGTAAATACTCTATGTATGACAACGCATTATCAGAAATAGTGCCCTTTTTAATTTTTTTTTATTTAACCTCTTTCCTGCTGCCCTATAGCAGATATACTGCTACAGTGTGGCAGGGGTGCACAAAATCACGTGTATATATACTTGATTTTGCATTTCCGGGTAGGGGGTGTGTGCTGGCGATTACCTGCCAGTGCCCGGTGATTACCAAGCATCTCCAATGGGGAGGAGGACTGTTTTGTTTATTAACAGTTCTCCTCCTGTCAGCTCGGGCACACTGCTTTGGATGGCTGTGCACAGCACAGCCATCCAAAGCAGTGTGCTTACAGTGAAGCACACTGACACAGCCAACTAGTAAAACACTCCCTGCACACAGTTAACCCTTTGATCGCCCTTCATATTAACCCCTTGCTGCCCAGTGCCATTAGTACATTGTCAGTGCTTTTTTTTTAACACTGACCACTGTATTGGTGTCACTGGGGATGTCAGTGACACCAAGTCAGTCCCCCCCCCCCCCCGGCAGAATGCCCACCGCGTCCCGCTATAAGTCACTGATCGCTGCCATTACTAGTAAAAAAAAACAAATTCCAGTATCTATACTGTCATTTGTAAACCCTATATCTTTCACATAAACCAATTAATTTACACGTATTGGGATTTGTTTTTAGCAAAGACATGTAGAAGAATACATTTTGGCCTAAATTCATGATGAAATTTTATTTTAAAATTTTTTTTACTGGACATGTTTGATAGCAAAAAGTCAAAAATATTGTTTTTTTTTCTCACAATTGTCGGTCTTTTTTTTTATAGCGCAAAAAATAAAAAACGCACAGGTGATCAAATACCACTGAAAGAACACTAAATTTGTGGGAAAAAAAGGATGTAAATTTCATTTGGGTGCATGATCACGTAATTGTTAGTTAAAGTAACGCAGCACCGTTGCGCAAAAAAAATGGCCTGGTCAGAAAGGGGGGTAAATCCTCAGGAGGGCAAGTGGTTAAATAATGTACAGGTAGACCATGCCTGCAAAAGCAAATGCTTGTAGTCTCCATCAAGAGCAAGGGTGACAATGTTGGAGCACTATTGGAGACAGTTGTGAAAGTACCTGAATAAGGATCTTCATAGAAAGATAACCTAGTATTCTTTTAATAAAATCTTTAGATTTAAAATGACTGGACATGACATTGACATGGTAAAGCTTATATCTGGTTTTAGCGATTGGGTTTAGAGCGACTTTAAATCCAGTTAAGCCAGGATACAGTCTTAAAGCTACAAGGGTGTGTGTTAAAAATCACTAACAAAAACAAACTCTATGCCTGTACACAATAAAAGATACAGTAGTTCCAGGTCCCATGGCTTTAAGAAACTCTCCTGTTCTGAAAACAATTCTGGACATCAAATTATTTCTAGGCATTGTTACCTAATGATTATAACCCGCCCATACATTAAAAATGTTTCAAACATGTGTTTAAAAATATTAACTACTCCTACATTAATAATAAACCATCAAATATGTTAATACCAATTCCACCCATGTCCATAAACCTGTGTAATTTGTAAGGAAATTATTGGAGGCTTATAGAACCAGCAAAAATGATATAAACCTAGGAGTGGCCACAGTGTAATTAGGAGCTTGTGCAAACACTGTTTGTCCTGTTAAACCAAAATAAATCTTTTACAGTGATCTGTTTACAGATTTATAACCATATATTTGGATTTTCTTAAATTTGAAACTTATATTTTACATATATGGGAGAAAAGTTGTGACACTCGTATATAAATGACAGTGAAATTATTTTCAGCATTGTCTTGCTTACTGTTGCAAGACGCCTGCAGATGGTATACTGTTGCAGTGCAGTGCATAACAGTATTTCTTGTGTGGCAGATGGATTTGAGACCTTTATTCCACAATAAATTTTGCTTTATAATACATAACTTTACAGGATTTGTGTTGTATGTAGCAGGTTTGAACAGAGCCCAGCATTCATCTGCATGGCATTTTCAGTTCATAGGCAGTTCATGCCAACAATTAAAGAAAGTGGCAGGCAAGGTTACTGGCTGCTGCTAAAGGCAGAATATTGAGCAGAAACAGGGTGCTTAGAACAGAAGGTGTCAAATTAGACTTTGTCGATTTGAAAATTAGCAACATCCTGGAAGTTCAAATAATTTATTTACATTTGTTAATTCACTATACTTTCCGTAGTATGTTGTTAACCTCTGTGTCTGTTGTAGTTTTTACCATCTGCTGTGAACTGCCTGTTTTCTCAAAACCAGCCCTGTCTTTTTTTTGGTTATAGTAAATTGGGCCAACTGACATTCCCCTACTTAATTCCTTTTCAAGCATGCTTTTCTATCTTTGTCACAGAAAAAAAGGGGGAGGGGTGTATGTCTGCACAATCTGTGCATGAAGTATACCTGTCACCTTCATAATAATAAAAAAAATACTTAATTGTTGATTTACTAAATGCAAATATACTGACAAAACATTGCAAACAAATTTTCCATTAGTTTACTGAATGTGGTGAAAACTCAATTTGCAAAGCATACCCAATTATATACTAGGGAACATTTCACCTCATTCATTAAACTAAAGGAAAATTACTATAGAAAGTGAATAGTACATTTGCCTTTAGTAAATCATCCCTATACTGTGGTGGTTACCTCCAGGTACCTGCTTGCTAAATTTCCAATAGAGCTGGGATCCTGGTATGCCAGGGCTCTCCATTACTGTGATATCCACCTTTCTTGTCCAGTCACATCTTGACCTTATGCTTTTATCAGCCGGCTCACTAACAAATAAAGAGGAAAGTTGGTGAATCTTAGGATTCAGGAAATCTGGGTTGACCTGTTGCTTTGTTGAGTGAAGTTGTTAACTTTGTGAAATGTTTTCAGTATATACCATATTTTTCACTCCAGAAGACGCACCTGACCATGAGACACACCTAGATTTTAGAGGAGGAAAGCAAGAAAAAAAAATTCTGACCCAATGGACTGCAGACATAATACTGGAGATGACCAGAGACTGCAGACATAGTACAGGAGATGACCAGAGACTGCGGACATACTACAGGAGATGACCAGAGACTGCAGACATAGTACAGGAGATGACCAGAGACTGCAGACATAGTACAGGAGATGACCAGAGACTGCGGACATACTACAGGAGATGACCAGAGACTGCGGACATACTACAGGAGATGACCAGAGACTGCAGACATAGTACAGGAGATGACCAGAGACTGCGGACATAGTACAGGAGATGACCAGAGACTGCAGACATAGTACAGGAGATGACCAGAGACTGCGGACATACTACAGGAGATGACCAGAGACTGCGGACATACTACAGGAGATGACCAGAGACTGCAAACATAGTACAGGAGATGACCAGTGACTGCGGACATACTACAGGAGATGACCAGAGACTGCGGACATACTACAGGAGATGACCAGAGACTGCGGACATACTACAGGAGATGACCAGAGACTGCAGACATAGTACAGGAGATGACCAGAGACTGCGGACATACTACAGGAGATGACCAGAGACTGCGGACATACTACAGGAGATGACCAGAGACTGCAAACATAGTACAGGAGATGACCAGTGACTGCGGACATACTACAGGAGATGACCAGAGACTGCGGACATACTACAGGAGATGACCAGAGACTGCGGACATAGTACAGGAGATGACCAGAGACTGCAGACATAGTACAGGAGATGACCAGAGACTGCGGACATACTACAGGAGATGACCAGAGACTGCGGACATACTACAGGAGATGACCAGAGACTGCAGACATAGTACAGGAGATGACCAGAGACTGTGGACATAGTACAGGAGATGACCAGAGACTGCAGACATAGTACAGGAGATGACCAGAGACTGCGGACATACTACAGGAGATGACCAGAGACTGCGGACATACTACAGGAGATGACCAGAGACTGCAAACATAGTACAGGAGATGACCAGTGACTGCGGACATACTACAGGAGATGACCAGAGACTGCGGACATACTACAGGAGATGACCAGAGACTGCGGACATACTACAGGAGATGACCAGAGACTGAGACATAGTACAGGAGATGACCAGAGACTGCGGACATACTACAGGAGATGACCAGAGACTGCGGACATACTACAGGAGATGACCAGAGACTGCAAACATAGTACAGGAGATGACCAGTGACTGCGGACATACTACAGGAGATGACCAGAGACTGCGGACATACTACAGGAGATGACCAGAGACTGCGGACATACTACAGGAGATGACCAGAGACTGCGACATACTACAGGAGATGACCAGAGACTGCGGACATACTACAGGAGATGACCAGAGACTGCGGACATACTACAGGAGATGACCAGAGACTGCAGACATAGTACAGAAGATGACCAGTGACTGCAGACATACTACAGGAGATGACCAGAGACTGCGGACATACTACAGGAGATGACCAGAGACTGCGGACATAGTACAGGAGATGACCAGAGACTGCGGACATAGTACAGGAGATGACCAGAGACTGCAGACATAGTACAGGAGATGACCAGAGACTGCAGACATACTACAGGAGATGACCAAAGACTGCGGACATACTACAGAGATGACCAGAGACCGCAGACAGTACAGGAGATGACCAGTGACTGCAGACATACTACAGGAGATGACCAGAGACTGCGGACATACTACAGGAGATGACCAGAGACTGCAGACATAGTACAGGAGATGACCAGAGACTGCGGATATACTACAGGAAATGACCAGAGACTGCGGACATAGTACAGGAGATGACCAGAGACTGCGGACATAGTACAGGAGATGACCAGAGACTGCGGACATAGTACAGGAGATGACCAGAGACTGCGGACATAGTACAGGAGATGACCAGAGACTGCGGACATAGTACAGGAGATGACCAGAGACTGCAGATATAGTACAGATATATTGCCCTCCCCCTCTCCTTCCCCGTAGTCTTGTGGGACACATGACTGGTCCCACAAGACTACAGGGCCATTCACAAAGCGCAGCGCTTCTTGCACATGCACAGTGGGCACCCGGCTGTGACAGCTTGTGGGTGCCCACACTGAAGGTGCCGGGGAGAGAAGATGGCCGGTGAAAGCAGGACACCGCTGGACCAAGGAAAAGGTAGGACCGAGGAGCAGGTTCTTCTGCACAGTAGAGCCAAGTGGCCGGCCCAGTATTCTAACACAGCGGCAGCAGGAATACCAGTCCAGCCACTCCATGTTCGCTCCATGAGACGCACAGACATTTTGCCCCATTTTTTGGGGGGGAAAAACTGCGTCTTATGGAGCGAAAAATACAGTATTTCTTTTACATATGCTGAAATGTATTTTAAACTCATATATGATTTTTTCTGTAGAGAAAAGTATCTGATGCTATTTAGTTTAAGCCACACCATATTGATCTTTTAATTTTCATAAATAAATGACTTTCTCCCAGTGGATGGAATAAAATGCCATTATTTGCATTTTTTCAGCTTTTATGATATAAAAATATACATGAATATTTCATTCTGTAGCAGGTTTGGTTTAAGAGAAGAAACTGTTAGTGAAAACAACATTTTATAGTGGACTGTGAGTACTGCAGCATGTGTTTTATAAGGTTCTCATAAAATAGTTGCTAGATAAACAAAAAAGGAAGAAAACCTAACTTCACTTAAAATGTTTATTTCAGTGTTGTGTGATGCTGGCAAGTTCAATCACTTGACTTTCATATATTTCTTTGACGCATGACATGATGTTCCTAGTTCTGCCCAGTTGCCACGGCCATTACAAATCCAATGTATAGTACGTCTGACAATTCCCCAAGGAAATAAAGTCTACCGATTAACTCTGTTCAACCACCCTGTTGTTATTTTTTTTTTGCTCGATCAGCACTGCAGGCTATAGACTGCAGTGCTGATCTGCGTACTCTGACAGCAGGGTAGTCTCTCTAACGACAGAATAAAATGTCACAGTGGGGAGGACTCCTGTATTGATTTTGTGGATGGGGGATCAGGTCTTTTTTTTTTTTCAACCTGCTGGTTGAAAGAAAAAAAAAACACATGTACTACGTATGGCCAGCTTTAATCCATGAGGGAGTAGCAACACATTAATGTCCAGTTAAATTATATTTAAAGACCCAATTTATTTTGGTTTTGGTAAAATTTGGTTTTGTTTTCCATAGCGTAAGCAAAGGGTTAAAACACCCATCAGGCTTTTTCTGCAATACCTTCTTTATCCAAAATTAATTTTAAAAAGTTTTGTCTTTAGATATACTTTACGGCTGGAAAAAAACTGTTTTGGGTGTAGTCAGATTTTAAGAAAACTGTCTAAAACATAATGAAATAGTGCATATGTTGTTTGCAATATTCATCCATGTGTCTTCACTAACCTCTTCAAGCCAGCCATACGCATATATGCAGCCAGTTGGCAGGTGGACCTTAACACCAAGCAACCGCATATATGCGTCCCTGTGTAAATAACTTACCATGCTGAGCAGGGGCGGACTGACAACTCATGGGGCCCCTGGGCAATAGGGGATCATGGGGCCCCTATGTCCTTGCCCAAACTCAAAAAAGCCTATGAAAAAGGTACCAGGGGCATCTCATGGGGCCCCCTACTGACCCCGGGCCCTCAGGCAGTGCCCAAGTTTCCAAATGGTCAGTCCGCCCCTGATGCTGAGAGTGCACTCCCTGTGCACTCCCAGCATAGTACCCGGCAGGGATCAGAAACCTCCCAATGCATACTTGCGAGCAGCAGCTTTCTGATCATGTGTGACCGCTGTGACAGCCAATAACAGTGGTCACATGACCCAAATGCCCATCCTGGCCTCCTGGCTTTCAGAACTCTTAAAGGGCCAGGAGGCGGTCAGCGGGAAAGGGTTAAGCTTAGGTTCACACAATGAATCACACAAGAATGTGCAATTTATATGCAATTCAGTACAGTGCTATTTGAGCCCTTTCATTTTGAATGGGTTTAAATCACACTGCATTGCACCAAAAGTAGTGCATGCATCACTTTTGGAAAACACACTGCAACCGGATAGTTATGTACCATGTGATATTGTGCAGACAAATGCATTGCCTTTGCAACCTGCATTTGGGGTGTCATTAACATTGCACTGACACCCACTGCAGATCACAAAGGCAGTGCACTTTGAATGCCACGCGAGAACCACACACGGATAGCTGGTTTCCAGCAGCACGTTCTAGTGTGAACCGGGGCTCAGAGATGGAATTTGTGTGTAATTTCTATATAAATTATCAGTATTTGTATAACTGAAAGTAGATTTTATAAATGTATGGAAAGTACAATATACACCAGTAAAGTAAGAAGAAGTATGAATATTAATAGACTTCTTATTATAAAAAACGGATGTAAGTGTACTGAAAGTATATTTTTCTTGCATGTATTATAGGGCTGGTTGTGTGAGCTACTGCGGTGGAAAGAAGACCCATCACCAGAAAACAGAACTCTTTGGGAGAATCTCTCCATGATTCGCAGGTTTCTGAGTCTTCCCCAAACAGAAAGAGATGTTATTTATGAACAAGAGAGCAATGCAGTTCATCAGCATAGTGAACGGCCATCGCATATGATCCATGTGTCCACAGAGCAGATTCAGGTGTGTGACATCAGGTTTTAATAAAAGAAAAAATGCAAATATCTATCTCTAAACAATATTACAATATATGGACTTATGGACACCTGACCATCATAGCTGTAGGAGCTTGTTTGGTATCCTATTTCAAAAGCTTAGGCATTAATACCATGTTGACCCCTTTTGTAGGTATAGCAGCTCCATTCTTGATTTCCATGAGATTTTGAAGTATGTCTGGGGAAATTTGTGCCCATTCAGCCAAAAGAGTATTTGTGTGGGCAGGTACTGATGTTGGGCAAGGAGACTTTGCTTGCAATCGGCATTCCAATTTCTCCCCATGGTGTTGATTAGGATTGAGGTCAAAGCTCTTTACAGGCTCCAAACTCATCAAACCATATCTTAGCCCTGGTTCACACTAGAATGTGGTGCGGGAAACCCATGATTTGTGCAGATTTCCCACACTGTTTTCAAAACGCACATTGTGATCTGCAGTGGTTGTCAATGCAAAGATTGCATGTGAATGGTACAGGAATGTGCTGCACATTCCTGTGTGATACATAGGCGATTCATAGTGTGAACCAAGGCTTAATAGATTTGGTTTTGGAACAGAAAAGGGACTTACCCAAGCTGTTGACACATGGTTAGAAGCACACAATTGTTTGAAATATATTTTGTATGCTGTAACAGTTCTTTTCACTGGAAACAACTGAACTTAAAGTGTTACTAAACCCAGGATCCTGCATTCAGTATATCTAGTCTCCCACACTACAGAGAACACGGAAATGCAATTATTTTAGTAAATATAAACTGCTAAATACCTTTTCTCATAAGCAGTATATATCAGTCTTGTGGCTTCTATCAGTGTCCAACAGAGCACTGGTTAAAGCTTTTAGGAGGAGTTTTCATTCTCCCCAGACTGTCCTTTGAGGCTGCATAACCCCTGACTCTCTGTCTGGACAGTGCTGATTGGCCCTGTGCTGATCACATGCACTCTCCCAAGAAAAAAAAAAAACTCTAGCAATACATACCAAACTGAGCATGTGGAGCTTGTCCCCAAGGCTCTGTTTCATCAGCAGATGGATTGGGGGCAATAGAAGAAGAGGAGGATCAGAGAAGACAGGATCACACATCCTTTTTACATAATGCAGAGAATTAACCTCTTAATGAGTATAACAAGCATGCTTTACTGCATATACAGACTGATTTTACTGTTGTTGGTTTAGTAACACTTTTTTCATTTGGAGGAGTGTCCTCATACATCAATGTATACAGTTTATGAGTAGAAATAACTACATGATGGGGTAGGCTTGGGAAGTGATGTGCGGACACAGGTAAGTGATTAGCAATACTTGACCACTGCCCCCCCCCCCCCCCCCCCCCCCCCCCATATATGTTCATGTCCTTGTACTGTAGCTTGCATGGATAATGACTATTTAAAAAATAAATTTCTTCAGTCTAGGTCTTTAATTATTGCTTCATTTATAAATAACCTTAAGGAAATATTGATTGTAATTTCAGCAGCAACAACAGCAGCAGCAACAGCCACAACCACAGCAGCAGCCTCCACCACCTCAGCCACCGGGCCCTAGACTTCCACCCAGACAGCCTACTGTGGGATCTCCAGCGGAATCAGAGGAAGAAAGCCGACAACAGCCCCGTCCCAGAACAAAAATCTCTGTGGAGGCCTTGGGGATCTTACAGAGCTTCATTCAAGATGTCGGCTTGTACCCAGATGAAGAAGCCATTCAAACTTTGTCCGCTCAGCTCGACCTGCCCAAATATACAATTATCAAGTTTTTTCAGAATCAGCGCTACTATTTGAAACACCATGGGAAGCTGAAAGACAATTCTGGTTTAGAGGTAGATGTTGCCGATTATGAAGATGAGGAGATACCCAAGGAAATTGAAGGGGAAACCCAGGACAAAAATACTAGTACACTGTTTTCTGTTAAGCTTGAAGATAATATAACTGGAGAAAGAAACACAGACATCACTGCAGAACTGAATGACTTGTCATAAAGTATTATTATTTTATCCCAATGTTCCACTGGCATTATTGATTCCAATTCCATCCTATATACTGTCTGTAACACATTATTGTACATTGTGTGGCCAACAAATAGTGGAAGAGAAAACGAACTTGCACAAAAAGGACAAAGGAAATGATGCAGACATTATATAAATGTTTTACTGTATCTATAAACTTTTTTTAGCTCCAGAGGAGACAATGGACATTATTTTGAAGTCGGTGTTCACTGGAAAAGCCACAACATACTTGACAAGCATGATGCTTAGTGC